TTTGGGGCCGAGGCGCGGTGCCGGGGCACGGGATGCGGCTTGGGGGCCCCGTGGGAACGGCAGCGCCGCAGCACGGAGCTGCTCAGTCTCCCAGGTGGAAACCTGCCAGGGCTGCCATGTTATAAATACACGATGATTAAAGGCGAACGCTCGGGCAGTTCCAACCCCCTAATTAATTTGGATTAATTAATTTTTACAAAGCCCACTATTAATAGGGATGATGTCAGCGGGCGGCTGAGTCACAACTCTCACTCGGTGCGGGTCGAGCCCGGCTCTGGGTCCGCAGTGCCGCTTGGATCACAGGCTGGGATGAGCCACCGTTGTTGGGGCATGGTGGGACGTGAGCGGGGCGTGGGGGGCCACGTCCTCATCCCCAGGGCAACCCCAGCCCTGCCCCTGCAGGGGGGTGAGACCTGGGCAACCCCAGCCCTACATGCGTGTGGGGGTGAGACCTGCCCCGCACCCCTGGAAAGGTCTGGGTGATGCTCGAGCCCCGTGGGATGCTCCAGCCCAGCGGGTGCCGGAGCAAACCCGCTCTGTCCTCCCGCGTCCCTCCCCTCTGCCCCGTGGTCCCATCCTGCTCCCCACCGCAGCATCCCCACGGCAGCAAAGCCCAGGCGGTGCCGCGGAAGCCGGGCCAGGTTCACAGCAGCGGGGCCGAGCGCCGAATTTGGTCTGCTGCCCGCATGGGGAGGGAGGAGAGGAGGACGTCTCCGCGCCCGGGCGGTGTCTGTGCGTCTGTCCGGTTGCAACAGGAAACCCAACACCGTAGCACCGGGAACAAAGTGCTGCGCTCTCCCGTCCTGCATTGCAGGCTATAAAACCTCCCGGGGGGCCACGACCTACCTGCAGCTCCCTGCCTTGCAGGCGAGGGGGGTAAGTAGGGAATTGCTGCCTTCAGCACCAGCCCCACCCCGGCCACCGCGTCTCCAGTGCTCGCAGGATGAGAGCGGCGCTGGAGACCCCTGCTCTACCCCCATCCCTTTCCTGATGTCCCCCCATCCCAGCTGCCTCTGTGGCGTTTGTGCCAGGCTGTGCCGGATGGCAGCGGCATCACCGAAGGGCTCTGCTCCCCCTCCCCGCGCCAGCCGGGGAGGGCCTGGCCAAAGTGCTCGGTCCCTAGGGAGCAGCGGAGCGGAGGGACAGCCCCCAGCCCCGGGACCCTGCTCAGCCCTGCAGAGCTGAGCTGAGACCTTGCAGACTCGCTGCACCCTGGGCTAGGGAAGGGGAGAGGTTCCCCTTCTTCCAACACATGCCGGGCATCGCCTCCCCAGGACACCCCTCTGCCTCCGACCCCCTCTCGGCTCCTCTCCCTGCAACCCCGGGCCACTGCCGTGCCCCGGCACCATGGCCACGGGCGAGCTGACCGAGCTGGAGACGGCCATCGAGAAAATCGTCACTGTCTTCTTCACCTACGCGGGGAAGGAGGGCAAGAAGGGCACGCTGACGGCCGGCGAGTTCAAGGAGCTGGTCCAGCTCCAGCTGCCCAACCTGATGAAGGTGAGGTGAGGGGCAGCATGTGTGGGGCGGCTGGGGGGGGGGGGGGCTGGGTCCCTGCCGGGGGCCCCCCAGCCGGGGG